CCCTTGGACTCCCCGGAACAGCACCTCGGGGACACTGCGGTGATGCAAGCTGACCGGCCTCAGCCAAGGCAAACTCCATCCAGTCCTCCCTTGGGCAGCGGGGACCTGGCACAGGGAGGTGTTCTTGCAGCAAGCACTGCTGGCGCGAGAAGGGAGGAAACCAGGAGAGAGGTGCTGCACGAGGAAGACAGGGCGTGATAAAGTCGGGCATGAGGGCATCACACAAAGAAAACCTTCCAGAATCCAGACAAGCCCAGACAACTGGTGCAACCCACCATGTTCCAGGAGAAGATCCTGTGAAAACCAGGATGTTCCGAATTGCTGAGACCCTACCTTACTAACCTGTCTTGCTTCTGCTTTGGTGGAAAGCCCGTTAGGGAGGTGCGGGTAGCTCCACCAGCGTGGTGAAGTTTACTCAACCAGATCGTAACATCTACCTGCTCAGCAAGCCTCCTTCTCAAAACACACCCAACTGTTGTCTTTGATTTTTCCATCCTGACTACCAAGTCTTCCAGCAGAAATAGAGACAAATAAATGTAACCAACAGTGTTCAACCAAATTACCTAGAAGTTGATAAATTAGATGCCCAACGCTTCTCGCAGCATCTAGAATAAATACACCTTTTACAAACATGCTTATGGAGACCTCAGCGAGTTCTAGAACAAATGGGCCCAAAGGGCCCCCGGAAGTAAGTGGGTCCCAGCGATGCACAGGCTCACCCACGGGGAGGCCGGCAGTGGGGACCTACACCCACAAGCTGCTAACCAGCTGGTGCCGCAGCCCCCGCCACTCAGGCCCCTGGGACGGCAGGATTTAGGTGCTGACAAAGTGAAAGGCACTCAGGCGCTCTGACAACAGACACGAAACCACATGCACAGCAGCCACCGCAAACACCTATCCATCTTCACCACCGGGCACAAATCTGCACCACAGCATGGGGAGCCCAGAGGCCATCACTTGTGCATCATCAGTGAGGGCAGGGCCTTTCCCATCGCCAGCCAAGCCTGGACCTAGCTCTTCTAGGCCCCTTAGGGGAGGAGGCTGCTTGGCACAGGCAGTCACCTAGGGATGTGGAGGGAGAGCCACCTTCCTGGAGGGGCAGCTTGAAAGTGCCCATGCCGAGTCCTCATGCCCCATCCCAAATCCCTCCTATAGTTTATATCCACTTGATACACACCCCAGTGCACACACACAAACGGCCACTGGAGACTCCTGGCCTCCCCCAGTGAGACTGAGAAAATGCCGGTTAGCATTAGCTCAGTGGATGCCGCTGACGGTGGTGGGGGCGGGGCAAGGGCAGAGCATGGCAAGGACACCTGGCATTGCTTCTTCATTATCTTGGGCAGTGCCTGGCTCCTGTCCGGTGGATGACCGAATGAATGAAGGAGGGAGAAACCGCTGGAGGGACACTACTCCCAAGGCAGACTCCTAGACTCGGACCGTCTTGAACACGCAATTTCTCTCTGGACCCCAACATTTTCTGCCGAGCTGCTGGGAAGTGTTCACTCTGTGGAAGCCATGAGAGATCCACTTATATGAACAGGCATCCTCTTCAACAGTGAAGTGCCTCTGGGAAGGGTGGCATCCAGTACCCGGTAAGATCGGGGGCTCCCCACTCCAGCACTGCTGACATTTGGGGTCAGGTCATTTTTGTTGAGGGGCTGCCCTCTGCATTGCACAATGTTTAGAGCATCCCTGTAGCAACTCCCCGACTTGAGTTGACCAAAACATGTCTCTTGAAATCGTCAAATGTCCCTGAAAGGGCAAATCCCCGCTGGTTGGGGACATGAGTGGAAGTGAATCTGATTGCCCTCCCGAGGCTGCATGCAGGGAGTTGGCATTTCTAAGTAGGTAATTGGGAGGCAAGAAGCCTGGTGAGGAAGCACCTTCCTGGGCCAAAGGACCACACGTGAGATTTCTATCTGAGTCCAGGAGAGAAGTTAAGTTGCTTCCTCACCCTCTCTCTTTCCTCTTTTGACTATAAACTAGGCCAGTGGTAGGCAAACTGCGGCTCTCGAGCCACATGCGGCTCTTTGGCCCCTTGAGTGTGGCTCTTTCACAAAATACCACGTGCGGGCGCGCACGTACAGTGTGATTGAAACTTCGTGGCCCATGCGCAGAAGTCGGTATTTTGTGGAAGAGCCACACTCAAGGGACCAAAGAGCCGCATGTGGCTCGCGAGCCGCAGTTTGCTGACCACTGAACTAGGCTAATGGTCCTAGTCATGAAATGGAGCTACCGTCTGGGCCTGAATTGTCTTGGTCACTGTGTAAAAACTACATCTTGAGCTTGTGAAACGTTGAACAGAGCCTATTGCTAAGCTGCACGATAGCCACATTCCCATTTTATTGGGAAGGAAAATTCAAGCCTTGGGAAGCAACAGCATTCATATTGAGCTCCCAGGGGCAAAACTTTCAAGCGTTTATTAATGAAATTAGACACCGACGGTGATCAAGACCTCTGCAGACACGGTCTTAGCTACTGATTACCTTCACTTGCCATGCAGTGTGTGGCCCTGCAGGAACCTCTGAAAGTCACTTCATCGCTTTCTTGATTTCAAGAACAGCAGCCCCCTACCCACGGGACCCGCTTCCAAGTGAAACAGAACACACATCCCAAGTAAAACCACACTTGCATTTTTTATTTTCTCTTTTTGTAAAATTGTTTTCCTGCCACCCCTCTTTGCTGGTCCTTACGCGGAGTGACCGTCTGTGTGCTGACCTGGCAGGGAGCTCCCAGTCTGGGGACAGAGACAGTGAGCAGGCGCTAAGGCAACAATGGCCGGGGACAGAGGAGGCCTGGCCAGGTCTGTGCTGAGCTGTGGAGGAAGGAGCCACCTCTCCTATCCAAGGCAAGGCAAGGCAGGGGGCAGAAAGATGATCCCTGAAGCAAACCTGAGGGGAGGACGGGGTGGTAGGGCCCAGGCTGGGCAACGGCAAATGCACCCGAATTGCCCAAGTGCAGTGACTCCAAGTACTTTGGGGCTTGAAGCAGAAAGTGTAAGATGGGCAACTTGGACACATTCATGGCAGGTACTGCCCAGAAACTTGAGAGCTGCCTATTGATGGTGATAACGAGTGGGATAGTTTTACCTACTTCTCCCCAAGGCCAGGGGTCGGAATTTATAGTCCTCGCATTAAGGCTCAGGCAAAGCAATGCTGGCTGGTTCTTTTATAGTTCTAAAACTATTGCTGTATCTGTCCTCTCTCTTTAAACTCAGGACGATTACGTGTATTTTGTGTTAGAACTTCAGAGGAATTGGTTCTTTCCTTCAGGTAACAGAGTGTGTTTGTGTGGAGGGGGGGCAAGAGAGGGGGTATCTACAGGCTCAGGACACCAGTAGCTGAGTGTGAGGGAACTGAACTGCTGAGCCCCAGGTGGGGAGCAATTAAGGCCAGTGTCCTGTGAGTCTGGACCCCACAGGTGCCAGGTTGCTGAGATAACAGGGGTCCCACAGGAAAGCCATCGTGGTGTGATGGAAGCCATGTTAACTTGTGGACCGAGCTGGGGATCTGGTGAGATGGAGGAAGGGGACAGCAGAGGACAAGAGAAAACAAGAAGGACTGATCTTCTCACTGTCATGGCATGCTCTGTAGGTCTGAAGGGTGGCACACAAAAGCCCCATCCCTTTGCTCTCTCTCTGCATGCCATGGACACAGAACCCTTGGCAAACCTGAGTTCTACCCAACTGAACAGCTGGGTAGAACTGATGGCTCACTGAGCCACTCTGCAGCCTCAGTGAAGCACGACTCTGACCTCCTAAGAGGTCCCAGGGGCCCTGGGCTGGGCTGCACCATACCCACCAGGACAGTTGTACCCCACACTCACGATGGTCTCCCTAAGCCAGGTACCAGACAGCGCTGGTCCTGACACGTACTCTGAGAAGCTCTTATTATGCGGGAATTTGGTGGTGGTGCCCACCACCAAAGCCAACAATTTATAAGCACCTAAATTTCCCATTCCCAAGCTTTTCACGAAGATCACCAGAATCAGTCCTGGCCAGGTTGCTTAGTTGGTAGGAGTGTCATCCTATACAGCAAAAGGTGGTGGGTTCAATTCCCAGTCAGGGCACATACCAAGGTTTCAGGTTCAATCCCCAGTCATGGCACATATGGGAGGCAACTGATCCGTGTTTCTCTCTCACATCGATGTTTCTCTCTCTCTCTCTTTCTCCCTCTCCCTATGTAAATAAATAAAAAACTAAAAACCACCAGAATCATAGTTTGCAAAACTAGCTCAGAACAGAAAGTTCCGGTGGCCCTTGGTCTACCAGGTGCAGATCACAGAGCAGTTTAGCTGAAAATCAGTGTTTTATTTTCTAGTGGAGGGTGGTTCAGAAGTAGCTAGAAACTTTAAAAAACCAACCTGAAGAGCCTAACTAAAGGCTGTTCTGTAAGCCCCATCACAAACCAACCTGCCCTGAGGTACCCGAGGAGGCCCGAGCCCTCGCCGTCCCACTGCCGCCCGCCCCTCCAGCTCACCCACACCCAGCACTGCTGACCTCCTCAGAGTCTTACAAATACAGGTCATGAGCATACGTGTATTCAAGGACAGGTCTCCATAACAACACGGATGGATCTCAGAAGTGTGAAGTGAGCGAAAGAAGGCAGACACCAAAGAGCACCTATTGTATAAGCCTATTGTTATCAAGTTCAAGCTGGTGAAAGTCATCTGTACCGACTCCGGGCAGTGGTGACCTTCTGCGGGGCACGCCTGGGCCTGGGTGTGTTTCTAGAGGCTGCTCCTGTCCCTCTGCTGCTCGGGTGCAGGTTACACAGGTGCGCTCAGTTTGTGAGGATTCACTGCGCTGAACATTCAGGATGCACATGCTTTCCCGTGAGTGTAGTGACCTTCAATGGAGAGTTTCCCATACTCCTGAACCGTGGTGGGCTGACACGAGAGGCTGTCCTGCTTCGTGGCCCTCACGGGCACCCGGCCGCACTCTTGGAGCCTGGGCTAGAGGCCTGGGCAGCACCGAAGAGGCGCAGGCCCACACTTACCTGCTGCAGCCGGTCCTCTTGCCTCCTGCTCTGACTCGGACGGTTGATGAACGACCGCGTGGACACTTTGTAGTGATTCAGCAGGCAGACGATGACCACGACCATCACCGTCACCACCACAATGATGATGATGATCTGGGCGAACTCCAGCTCCGCTGCGAAGGAAGAGGAAACCATGTTAACCACGTGCCCCACTCAGCTCCCCAGACCCCGTCTCCTCAAGGCACTCTGACCATGACAACCACCAGGCATTGAAGGCCTCTTGCACGAATCTGCTCCTCAAGGGAACCTCATGAGAGAGAAGCTATTTTTCCCCAGGCCTGCTGCCCAAGGCCACTGCCAGACTTTGACATTCTAATAACATTTAAATAAAAGGAGACCCAGGCAGACCTGTGGTCTCAGCCTAACCTTGGTGCTCAGACAAATCTGTCTTTGCAATTTTATAATGAGAAGAACCAGAGGAAAATGTATTCCATTGGCCCTACGAGACCTCTGGAGGTGCTCTGCTGTAACTGACACCATTTCACACGGGAAATGCAAAGACCAGCCCAGTGCGTACGCCATAGGCTGGTGGACACACAGGCTACCCCTGCCTATTGGGCAGGTGAGCCCTTAAGGGCCATCTCTTGGGTATGAAAAGCTCAGCGTCTTCATTACCTAAACTCTGTTCCTGTGAGATGACTCGCCCACCCTTAGGGGAGTTAAGAAAGTCTCTCAAAACTGAAGCTGTTCCTCCCAGTATGTAATCTCTCTAAGAAAGTTAAACCCATCTTCATGGTTGAGTTTCCCAAAGCACATTCACACAGGACCCACATGGTACACACTGAAGAGAAAACCTATGGTGATAAAGTACTCCAACCTCCTTTCCTCAAAGCCGCTGCCTTTGGAAGTACCAGTTAATTTAGAAAATACATCCCCACTGTGTTGAACTCCGCGGGGACCACACTTTATGTGCAGTCAGGTCACCATGGGTTCTGACACTGCCATGAAAGAGATTGTCTAAATGCCATTAACACATGCTTCACACACAAGTGTAGCGCCAAGGAGCTACTTCTGGAAGAACAGCACAGTGAGTTGTCAAGTAGAGAGGGAGGTGGTTCAAGCCCTTCAGTTCGCAGGGAGGAGCAGAGGCTCAGTGCTCAAGGGCAGCTGCGAACCCAGACTTTCTGCTTCCTGGCTTCCAGCTCATGGCTCTGCTGAGTGTTGGCTGCCTGTTCTCCCGAGTCTCCGCCCGCTAAAAGGAAGTGACTGTCTGCACAGGGGCATCACGTTAAAGGGTGAGAGGCTCAGGAGGACGGCGAGGAGCACAGTGGTATAATGAAGGGCAAGAGAAAGAGGGGAGAGCTCTCTCTACTATGCTACTGCGTCACACTTGCAACACATACAGTATGCACACTCATACACACATATACATGTGCACACAGATACACATGCATGCATGCACACATGCACATGCACACAAAAGCACATGTGGACATACACACATGGGCACAATGCACACATGCATACAAATACACACCTGTATGGGTACACATGCATACAAGGCATGCGCACAATGCACACCCTTTTGCTGCAGCAGGACTCAGGCCACTGGCCAATCGGGAAGCATTATGGGCTCACACTTGGGATGATGCAAAAGGGGACTGGGTAGCACCTTCCCCCCAGTATTTGCAGCTGTGTGCCTCCACCATCCACACCCTGGGAACAGAGGGGCAGGGGCCGGGATGGGGGTAGATGGAGGGTCTTCCTGAATTCCGCCATGTCCTGCCCTGTAGCAGTGTCCTCCACTCCTGTCCTTGGCCCCCACATACCTGAGGGAATGGAGATTTACATCGCACCCTCTGGACTGGGTTGGACTGCACTTTGCACTGGGCCTGTAGGGCCGTTGGTTCAGAGGTGTGCCTTAGAGAATGGAGAGCTGAGTGTGAGGGAACTGAACTGCTGAGCCCCAGCTGGGGAGCAATTAAGGCCAGGTAGGTTTGCCGGGTACACCCCTAGCTGGCAGTAAAAGGGCAGATCCCAGTGGGCATGGCTGACTGTGGAGGTTCAGGCAGCAATGCCCTGAGTGGCTCTAGAGCAGCGGTTCTCAACCTGTGGGTCGCGACCCCTTTGGGGGTCGAACGACCCTTTCACAGGGGTTGCCTAAGACCATTGGAAAACACATATATAATTACATATTGTTTTTGTGATTAATCACTATGCTTTAATTATGTTCCATTTGTAACAATGAAAATACATCCTGTATATCAGATATTTACATTATGATTCATAACAGTAGCAAAATTACAGTTATGAAGTAGCAACGAAAATAATTTTATGGTTGGGTCACAACATGAGGAACTGTATT